AGGTACAAACTCGTCATAAATCTCTCCCAACATGAGCAAACCACCTGTGAAATGGAGGTTGAGAAGGGAGAACCGTGCCTCCCCATGATCAAAGAGCCAGGAGTTACTCACATAACTCTAATAACCCGTCGAGCACTGGTAGGCTGAGAGCAAAGAGCATGATTTAAGGCAATCCTCATGATGATGTAAGAAATTAAACGTCCAAAAACTGTATACCCTAAGGTATTGGTGCTCACCTTCAAACTTAAGGCCATGGGGAGACCAAACCAGGCCTTTACCCTTCATCATCCTCTTCCCAAGAGTGGGGAGGTCCACACAAGAACATAGTTGCGGTGAATGAAATAAAACATGGGCACACCATCACCCTCCATGACGGACCCTCCGTCCTTGGTCTCAGAAAGATGGAAGCGGGCACTTTCACCCATGAAAGTGACACTTAAAAGCCACTCTATCTCACAAGCCGGGGAAATATGCTTAAGCTATTGGCATCTCGCAAGAACAACTCCGATATAAGTATCGGTCCCCACTTCCTCAGGCGTAGGAAGATTTCCAATGTCAGGGACATCACCTACAAGAATTCAAACGAAAGTTCGTGTCATATTATGGATTTCATAAAAGACGTGACATTGACCAATGCTTACAAAATTTTTGCTGTAACTCCCCTAAAAATGGAGATATGTCAGTGTAAAAGGTTCTTGGCTAGCCCGTCACCCCGGAGTATTAAGAGGTAGTTATACTAGTGGGTCAAGCCCAACCAAGAAGTGCCCTAGAAGATCCCCCTTTTTAATCAAAGAAGCATAAAGAAATATGGAACAGCATGAAAACTATGTAAAAGCATATAAAAGCATGAAAAATCCTACAAAAAAGACAGAAAAGGGATCAAGACAGCTTACATCCCTCGGATGCTCGGGAAGTGCTTGCCATGGGACCCGGATTCTCCAAAGGCTCACTAAGCCCCTCAAAGGCTCTCCCCTATCTCTCTCTAAGGTGCTCTTGTTGGTGGTATAAATCTAAGGGGCTAGAAACACAACTTAAAAAATTCGATTATTTGAAACTATAGGGTTTTAATTACATGAATCTTTCAATACAAAACCATAATACATAAATTTCAACCCACAAACTTGGCTTATGTAATCTTTAATAATAATAATAATAATCAATAGGTCCCTTTATATGTCCCTTACACAAAATACAAATAAACTCAATACAATGTCCAAGTGCTCATAGTGCTTGTCTCTACAATGCATTACATGACATATACCTAAAATTCCTTATTCTTTAAAAAATTACATGTTCACTTCTTCTTCAATCTTCATCCTCATCAAATACCACAAAATTATACATTCACTATATACTTGATCATGATAAGCAAATATGATTTTAACTTGCATGGGTAAAACAACATGACAATAAAGCATATACTACAATGTTATAAGAATAATCATATTTTTCATATAGCATCAAATCCTCCAATCATGAATCATTCAATCATTATAAATACATTTAATAAGCATGCAAGCAAACATGGGGGCAAGCCATATGTCGAATCCCTTGTGCTCGAGTCACAAGCGGATCTTTTAAGAACTTAATTTATCTCATTGTCTAAGGCACAGGCGATAATAATAACTCAAGCAGATCAATCCAATAAGGAAAGCATATGATCACTTTAATTCAATTAATGGGGATCAAAACATGAGAGAGATAGGTATCAAAATAACCTTACAAAGATTGAGAGAAATATCACACAAAACAAGGCTGATATGGTGAAACTACTATATGTGGTCCAAGTGGCGCCACACAATCCTTTAAATGCGCAAAAGTAATGACAATAAATTATCTCATATTGCCCTTTAGCATTTACAGAAACATTAGTCCACTTAATCATTATTAGTTTCAAATAGTTCACTTAGCAATGATGAACAACTAGGGACATTTTTGTCATTTCTACCTAAGTTTCTTACACTTATCAAGTAACATAAATACCTCAAATTGTTCCTCATTAAGACCTAAAGAGTGCGCTTTTTATTTCTAACTCTGAACAAAGGCAATTAAAAAAAAAAAATTTATTTGTTATTTTAAAAAAGTAACTAAATAAAATTAAAATAAAAAAAATAATATCTTATATTAATTGAGATCATTTGACCTGCTTAGTTATTTTGTATGGATTCAACACCTTAAATAATACTTCGCCTTTGTTGATATTCTCAATTTTCAATGGAGGTAAATTAATTTTCACGAGTAAACTCCAATTCTCAACTTGACTTTAATTTGGTAAATTGAGATAAAAGGCACGTCACGACCTTCATTATTCTTTTAACATTCCACCTCAAAACCTACTCTAAAAGTACATTATGATCCTTTCCCTTTTACGTCAGCTAGAAATAAATTTGACACAACTAAACAAATGTGCAATGGTGGACATTGGGGACCAAATGTTTTTTTAATCCCTAAAATTCTAATGCAACATAGCTATTTCCTGTAATTAAATAACTCTCGTATCTAGAAATCTACGAGTGAAAAAGCCAAGAGCTTGTTTGGTCTAAAGGTGAAAATCATGAGTGAGTTGATTCTATAAAATTTTTGACCAGGACAATACTTTACCTTTTAATGATTGACATTCTACACAAGATGAAAAGCATTTCCCAAAGTAAAATCAACAACATTTTTGTTGTGCAATTGGTAAACTAAGATATTGTTGGGTTTGGTGATAGCTATATCACCAAACCCATATTTTTTTCTAATGAGTAGGGTATTATAGAAAATAAAAAATTGACTTTTTTAAGAAGCAAAAAAGTGATGTCTTTTTAAAAGAGTGAAGGAGGACATAATACCCATCATTTGATGGTCACCCCTTTGAGGATTATGGGAATGGATCTCCAATATAGAGATGAGTCTCCAAGGGAGCCTCTAAGAAATGGACGGTATTCCCATGAATTTTGGCCTGGTTAACTTCCACTATGGGAATGGATCTCTAGTGTGGAGATGAGTCTCCAATAGAGAGACATGACCTCTTTGAGAGGGATAGTATTCCCATGAGTTTTGGGTTGGTTAACTTCCACTTCTAGAGACAGGAAATCTCTATGTTATTCACAAGGTTATCTTTCTAATAGCGATATTGAGGTGGAAAAGATGATGTTGATCGACGGTATTGCTCGGTCTGGAGAGCTGGTTTAGAAGGGAAGATCAGTGATGGTCTTTTACCGATGTTTAGAGATACATATTATTTCTTATAACCCATAATTGTAATATTCATTATGATAGTGGGTTTTTAGTTGTCGAGGCTGTGGATGTAGCCTTACGGGGTGAACCACGTAAATCGTGTGTTGTTGTAGTATGCTTTTTATGTTTGCTTTATTTCTCGCACTCGATTTATAGTTGTATTTATCTACTTCGTATTTAGCCAATCATGTACATGATCTTGGTTGGGATCCCGGTATTTGGAATTCCCGGTTCTACAAGCTAGGGGTTCATGAGATCCCTACAATTTGTATCAAAGAAAAAGGTGTGCACGAGGCTAATGTTTGTACTAAGAAAAGGAGGAATGACAAAGTTTTATGCATACATGGTTTGAGGTGAATAAATATGAAAGCAAAGTGTATGTGAAAATTCCCAATGGAGGCAAGTGAGAAGAAATCAAGAAATATTCATGGTTTGAGGTGGAGAAATATGAAGGCAAAGTGTTTGTGAAAATTCTACAATGGAGGCAAGTATGAAGAAATCAAGAAATTTATTCAATGAATGTTGTCGAAGCAATTATGGTGATTTTCCTATCAAGGTGGAGATTGTTGGGTTTGGTGATAGCTAAATCACCATACCCATATTTTCTTCTAAATATTAGGATATTGTGGAAAATAAAATTTTGACTTTCTTGGGAAGTAAGAAAGTAAAATCTTTATGAGAGAGTGAAGGAGGACATAATACCAATCATTTGAGGGTTATCCCTTTGGGGATATGGGAATAGATCTCCAGTATGGAGATAAGTCTCCAAGAGAGAGACAACCTCTGAGAGAGGGGCAGTATTCCCATGAGTTTTGGATTGGTTAACTTCCATTTATAGAAAGAAAAAATCTCTATGTTGCTCTTAAGGTTGACCCCTTTGGGGATTATAGGAATGGATCTCTTGTATGGAGATGAGTCTCAAGAGAGAGACATGGCTTCTGAGAGAGGGGTCATATTCCAATGAGTTTTGGGTTGGTTAACTTCCACTTCTAGAAAGAGAAAATACATATGTTGCTCTCAATGTTATCTTTCCGATAGTGGTATTATGGTGGAAAATAAGATGTTAATCGACGGTGTTGCTCGGTTCGAAGATCGGCTTTAGAAGGGAAGTTCGATGATAGTCTTTTAACAATGTTTAGAGATAAGTATTATTTGTAACCCAACGGGGTGAACCACGTAAATCGTGTAATTTTGTAGTCTGCTTTTTATGTTTGTTTTATTTTCTGTACTCGATTTATAGTTATATTTATCTACTTCGCATTTAGACAATCATGTACACTATCTTAAGTAGAATCCCGGTGTTTAGGATTCCCGATTTCGCAAGCCTAAAGGTTCACGGGAACCCTAAAGATATGAGGCCCTATGTAACTCAGAATTTAAGAAATTCTATCTTTCTGCCCTAAAAGTTATATAACAAGGTACTCAATCGACAAAAATCTCTCTCTCTCTCTCTATAATATATATATATATATATATATATATATATATATATATATATATAATAAATAATATACGTTACGTTAGTTACTAATAACGTATAGTAAGTAGTAACTACGTAACTAACTATTACGTACGTAGTAGTAGTAACG